CGCACGTCGAGCACGTTTGTGGCGCCGAGGCCGTAGAGCCTCATGAGAGGGCTGTACGCGCCGCCGGAGAGGTGTCCGCCGAGGCCGAGGCTCGGGCAGATGCCGGCGGGGAAGCCAAGGGTCCGGCTGGCTTGGGAGATCTGGTAGTAGAGCTCGCCGTTGGTGGCGCCGGCCTGGACCCACGCCGTCCGGTCGACGGGGTCGACGGTGACGTGGCGGAGCTTCTGGAGGTCGAGGACGAGGAAGGGCTCGTTGATTAGGGAGGTGTAGGAGAGGCCATCGTAGTCGTGGCCGCCGCTGCGCGGCCGGAGGTTGACGCCGAGCCAGGAGGCGCAGGCGACGGCAGCCTGGACCTGGGACTCGTCCTCCGCCGTGAAGATGAGGGAGGGTTTGGGGGAGGAGGATCGGAGGCAGCGGAGGTTCTGGGCGGTGGAGTTGAGGACGGAGGGGAAAGAGGGGTCGTCGCGGTCGTGGAAGTCGGAGGTGTCTGCTCTGTTGCCGGACTTCCAACGGACGCACGATCGGAATGTGGTGGGGTTGAAAGGCGGTGCGGGCCAAGGGGAGGAGGGGCTTGCCTGCACCAGGATTGTGATCAAGAGGAGAGTAAGGGTTGGGGGTATTGTAGTCATTGTACTTCACTAATTTATTCTTTTATTGGTTTCTATTTTTTTTTATTTTTTTTAATCGGTAATTGGTTTCTTCTATTTAATTTGAGGATTAATGGCACTAAACTATTTATAGATTTTACTATTTATAGATTTTATTTTTTTACAATACCTACTTATAAATGTCTTTTTATATTTCCCGCCATATCATATCATTCAAAATTTTATTCTTACTCTTACACTTATAAAACTCCAATTACAATAAACTCTATAAACCTATTTTTTTTATAAGTCTTACATGTTTTCCACTAACTTTTAAATATAATAAAAAAATTATAAAAAGTCCAAATGTCATGTCAAATGGATTAAAAAAATAAAAATAAAGAGAATTTGGGAGATTACGGGCCACCAAAAGAGGTTTATGATGAGTTTAGATTTTACAAAACTCATGTAAAAACTTAAATCTTACCTATTAAATAGTAAAACATGTAGGTAGAGCTGTCAAAACAGCTCGCAGCCCACGGGCCGGTTCGCCCTGCCTCGTAAAATGGGCGGGTTGGACCAGGAATTTTCTTTGGCGCGCTACACGGATCGGCCCGTTTTGACAACTCTACCAGTAGGACTGTAGGAGTTGGTTTGTAAACTTGGGGAAAAACTTATTGCTATAGTTGCTGATGGGCCTCCTCTCAGATCTGACGTGAACCGATGGAAAACCGCCCAGATCTGAAATGAACCGATGGGAATGAGCTCAGATCTGGCTCGATAGCCTTTGAACCGTTGCCGAACCGCGAGAAGACCTGCAAGAACTCAACGCCGGAGCGATTTCCGGCGTAGAGCCTCCGACGCTCAAGTCAGTATGTGAAAGAGATGAAGAGAGCTGCTCTGAGAGAGCAGCAGCTATAATGGAGGAGAGTATGGAATGAATGAGAGTTAGGGTTTTGGGATTACCTCAGCTCCTTTATATAGAAGTACAACATTTATCTGAAGTCCCCAAAATGCCCTGGCCGACTTATTGGAAATGTCCAGAATATCCTGGTCGGTTCGCATTCCGTCCATCTCCTAGTCAGCATTTGGATTTCTTCTTATCCTTGACAACTTTCCTATGATATGTTGAAGTGTATTGGAGTCGCCGAGATCTACGAGCCTCGAGACTTCCTCAGTCGACTGGGAATATCAACTCGAGTCGACTGGGTCATCTTCAAGCGCGCCAGTAGACCCTGACGCGCTTGACCGTCTTCCCGGAAGGGATCGACTTTTGCTAGTCGATATGTGGAAGTCGACTGAGAGAAATGCCTAGATCCTTGACCGGAGATATCACAAAGAGTCTGCGGAAAAAGTCGACTTTGCGTAAGTCAACTCGGTAATCTCTGAACCGCAATAGTATTAGACCATTATACGACAGTGTGGCTATATCAGTTGCCCCTAGAGCATATGTAATGGGCGTTCAATTCTCTCATTTAAATGATAGATTTATGAGGTGTGGTAATCATTTAATTTGTTGAACGTTGTTGAACGGGAAGAATGTGTCATTTCTCGCCTAAAACAATTGTAGTCTATTCAATTAATACAAATAACCTATTTTCCCGCCTAAAATATTTTTGGGCCCGAATAGTATTTTTTTTTTTACTTATTACAACAGTAACGCTTTTTTTTTCTTATTTTTTTTGCTGCTGAAACTGTGATGTGGCAATATGTTATTGGTTAAAGTATTATTTGTTATCGTTCTTTTTTTTTTTTTTTTTTT